AAGAGGTCTTGAAGGTATTAAGTAAAACAATAAAAAATTAAAAAATGGGAACTACATAGGGAAGAGAACTCCTTGTAGTGGCCTTAGCGAGGAACATGATCTCAGTTCTCACTACAGGTCTGAGATGCCGCCCGGGTACTCAAGTCCAAGAAACACATTAATGGAAAACCAGTTTTCACTCTTTCTGCTGCTCATGCAATGACTTGTTTCTTGACAGATCACTCGGGGTGAGCCCCAGAAGTCATGCTCCAAGCCTGTAGCAGAGAAAGTCACAGAGAGCTGCCAGCAAATTTGCCAGTGCAGGCCACCTCCACCGTTACCACCGCCGCCTCCACCTCCACCACCCCCGAGGTTGCTGGCGGTGCCAAGTAAGTAGCCGCTGGTACGGTTGTGGTGTGCTGAGGGAGGGGAAAGCAACGTGGGAGCCTGGACAGACTAAGGAGAAAGGATGTGGGAGAGGGCACAGCTAGCTCATTTGTCAATTCCCACTTAGCAAATGGAGGAAAATATGTTCTCGGTAGAGATGGAGATCTGTTTTCTGATCAATGAATAATGCTTGGCTTTTGGAGGAAAGCCAGAGAAATTCCCTTCTTTCATTGTATTATGTATGATTCCCTAGCTTTAAACGGTTCCCTAATGCTTTAGCCCTGGGAGAGGCTTTCCTACAGGGACATAGTGCTATGCTTCCCCTTGAGTTACGTGACCTCCTGTTTCACACACCTTGGAGGTCTGGGTGCTCCAAGACAAATTCATTTATAAGCAGGCAAAAATTCTGCCTAGACCATCCTGCAGGTTTGGCTGTCTTCAAGACACCAGAGCTCTACTGCTTCACCATAGCACTGAGTCAGGTTGGCTGGTTTTCAGTTGCTTACGACTGTAACAAAAGTCAGAGGCACATCAGGAGTCCGTTTTCCCACTAATGCACATGCTGTCTAAGCTTCGTCTATTTCTCTTCATACAAATCAGTGCTCCCAGGCCAGCCCATCCGAGTTCCTCTTAATTTCCAGCTGTGTATCCCCGTGTCCAGCACTTTTTTCCTGCTGACCAGCTCTGCCAGCTTCCTTCCATATCGATATTCCTGTGATCCCTGACTCGTAGATCCTTTCTGGAGAGCAATAGCTGTGCTGGTGGCAGTCCTTCCGCAGTGGGACAGACCTCACCAGTGCTACCTGGGCTGGCTGGGTGCAGGGACATGGGCTGAACCCTGTGCCAATACTCTTAGGTCCCAGGTGTTTGGTATTCCATCAAATCTCCTTAAGGCTTCTATGTTTTTGCAAATTTGTATCTCCCTAAAAGGCTTCCTATTAATTCCTCTCCTTGCTTAGATAAACTCCCCTGGGAACAGTGTTGCAAAGTATATCTATTATCCTTCTCATTGCTTCCCCCAGGGAAGAAGAAATCATTAGGTAGCATCATTTGCTGTTTGTCTTTATCAGCGCCATCCCCAGATGTGCACAAAGAAGGCTTCTGCACAGCTTTTAACTGGGCAAAGAGCAGGCAGAATTTTGCAGCGTGGTTTCTGCTAGGAGCATGCTTTGTATTTGTGCCACACTGCAGAAATTTAAGGGAAAGACAGAAAAAAATGTGAGTAAAGCACTTGGGATAGGAAGTACAAAGACAACTTGGATAGCAGAGATGAAGGTTTTTAATAGCAGAAAAAATCTCTTTCAGTGTTAAGGGAAACGTCATGGACAGTAATATTGAAAATTCCCTTGATCTTTGTCTCACAGTCAGAAAAGGAAGTACTTTTCCACCCTGTTTTCTTGTCCCTGAGGTAAGCCGTTGCACTGAGGGAGCTGCTCTTACCCAGAGGAGACGTGGCAGAGCAGTGTTGGCACAGGGACCAGCCCTGCTGCTCAGCGGTGCCAGGAGGAGGACACCGCTGCCAGGCTGCTTCCCCTCCCGGGCTGCCATCAGGCAGCTGGTTTGAGTGCGTGGATTTGTCTCCTGTGAAATGGGAAGGAAATCATACCAGAAAAAAAGTCTGTCACGCACTGCAGAAAGAGGAAAGAGAAATCAAATGGGCCTGCAACTGGGATAGCCTGATGCTTACTCAGGCTGGATTGCCAGGTGCTAACCCAGTTCTAAAAATGAGCTATATAAATCCAGATGACTAATATTTAAACAAGCTATTTCATTTGAAATGCAATAAAAAAATAGATTACACATTCCTTTCACCAGTAAGCTTTAGAGCAGCAATCAAGTGCCTCATCTTGAAAGATGCTTTCATTATTATCAGCTGTCTAGGCACTGTGATTTCACCCACGTGTACAGCAAACCCCATCCTTGTGAGAATGAGCAAGCCTCGTGGTTAAATATTGATGTTATGGACACCACTTTTGAACAGCATTCATAGGAGAGGGCAGTAAATGGACAAGACAAGCTATTATTGAGACGTTGATGCTAGGCTTGCACTTTGCACTTTTTAAGTGGTTAAAGTCAAGTACTGGAAAGACCTTTCCAAAAAGCAGCATCCCAGGAGCTGTGAGTTTTACCTTTACAAGGTATAGTGTGTGTGTCATGAGGAGCTTCGTAAAGACACTGGCACTGCTCTCAGAGCTTTGTGAGCCACAGAAGACTGCAGCCTGCTAGGCACTGTCCTTAAATGCTCTTTTTTGCAGTTAAACCAAACATTGTTTGAGGTTTATATGATCTCTACATCCTTCTGAAACAGCTGCTGTGGTTTGGACCTGATAATTAAAGCAAATAGATACAAAATTCCTGTCAATCCAGTTCTTACAAACACCAACAGCTCCGTTATCTGTTAAATGAAGTCATCTAGTGCTTTTTGACGTGTCCTATCTGGTCTCCAGCTGCTGCTGTGGAAAAGCAGGGGACCCTGTTAGTGTTTTCTGTATCAGCCCCACCTGGATGTTTTGCAAAACCTGCTTGGATGTATGAGGTGGCACTGGGTAACTGTTTCTGAACAACTGAGTCGCTCCCTGAAAGGTCTGTATTGTGCTTGGGGACAAGTGAGGACTTCCAGGAACAATTACAGTGCATTTAGTGTCTTTTTAGGCATTTCAATATTGACAGTTTGATGCAGTGACAGATCTTTAGCTCTGCTTCCTACAGATAGATTCATACAAAATCTGTTCAATGTTGTGAATTCCATAATTCATGTATAATAACTGGTAAATGTTCTGTTTACTCTGAGGGACAATAAGCTAATTCCCTCCACAGAAAATTAGTAGAACTACGCACAACTTAGCAGTCAGTCAAAATACATGAGCGGTGGTAGAAACACCAAGTTTCCAGGCTTTAGGAGGCATCTCACTATTATAGTCACGTCTTTACAACAGGACGGTGTGGGGTGTGTTTCAGTGCACTCTGAGGAGGTATATCATTCACTCAGCTAGATGAATATGAGAAATGAAATTAGATCATTTGGTCCATATATTTCCAAATATGGCTAACAAAATTATTGACTGTGTGCTGCTTTTAGTCAGGAAAGAGTTAACATATTTTGCTGGCTGGAGTTAGACCATGACAGACTGGAAGAAAACACAAACTGGTTTTGTCCTCCTTTGGGCATGACTGCAGACCTCCTTTTCCGACCTTTCTAACTTCTTCATACAGACCACTGGTGTTTCCCATGTCCCTTCCAAGCCCTGTTCCTGCCTTCGCTGCGTAAGCTCTGCAGCTGTCATGGGACATTCTCCCGTAGGAGCAGAGCCATGGGCCTCCTCAGTAAGGAGGACTCCTGCTCTGCCTCAGTGGATCCGTCCACTTTATGGTGCCTAAATGAGGGCTAGGATCGCTGGTCATGGATGCTGGTTCTCTCAATATTGCCATTTCAGCCTTGTCTCTTTCTGTAAAGTGGGACACATGGAGCATTTCAGTTTTGAGTTTCATGAGCTTCATTCCAGATGCAGTTTGTTGGCATCCCACTGAGATACTGCTGTTTTGTTTGGTACAGATGTATACCTTACTGAGGACCTCCAAGGAGAGGGGCTCCAGACCGTGTTAGAAGTGACTAGGATGGTGGGTCTGTCAGGAGACATGGTTGTGGTTCCTCCAGATGGTCTGGCACATTGATGTTTCCTCAGTAACTCTCCTTGTGCAAGCAGCAGCCTGCTTTTTAACCCATGCCTAGAAAACTGCATGTTGATGAAGTGAAGGGAAAGCTCATGAGGCTGAGGGGCCTAAGGCCAGCTAAGCTTAGATGCTGACAGTAAGGAAATGAGGCACTTTCAATGAAATTGAAGGAGATAGAGATGCTCAGAATCTGGCCTTTAATTACCTGTGTCTTTTTTACCCCTCTCTGTTTTCCTCCTGCTGGATTTCAGCCAGGACTAAGGCAAGGTGGATGGAGTACTTGTTTAGGCAGCATTTCTAACCCAGTTTCACAAACCCATGAAATTAAGCTAGTTCCAATGATGTTGACCCTTCAAAATCTAAATTACTGCCATTTTCCACCCTTAAATACTTTGTGAGCACGGAGCTTTCTCCAGGGGCTTTGCAAAGAAGAAAGGACTTCATTTGGAAGTAGAAGCTAGGCTTTCAAAACAGGGGAGTGTTAAAGCTAGACACACTGCAGTCAGTATCAGTTTTAACCAGTGTAAGGTTTGAGGAAAGACCATTTCAGAAGTGACTTCTTCAAAACGGTACAAGGAAGAGAAAGGATGTTCAGCATGAACTCCTCGCTTACTGGTTAGCAACATTTGCTGTCTCTGCTCTACCCATCTCCCACATTGGGTGAGGAGTCCGTGCTACTGTCGTATCTTCTCTAGATGATGGAAGTGTCTAGTGGAACATTGCTTCAGTGAAAATTTAGAGGAGGAAACGTAAATAAAAGTTTTTAGCTGCGATCATTACAACCTGTACTAGTACAGATGAGTCTGGATATGAGAACCGACCTCTGACTCGTTGGATGCTTGTACACAGTGAGGTCTTAACAGCTCCTGACCTCAGCCAAAGTTTGCCCTGAGCTATCAGTTGAGATAAAGAACAATCAAGTCAGTGCAAAGCCAAAGTGAATGACATCACTGCAGAGGACTCTAATCTCCAGGCTCTAAGTGCATGATTTCATTTTTCAAGGTGAAATTGTTTCCTTTATCTTTGGAGATAGTGCATCTCATTAACTAATTATTTGGACTGGTGAAAATGCCAAAATAAAAATGACCAACTGCAGGAAGGGTGCAACTCTTTGGCAACTATATGAGCACAGATGTATAGCTTAATTTCAGAAAGTGTGCAGGGTCCCTTATGTGCAAGCAGGAAAGCTAAGGACGATCTGATCTTTTAGGGCAGATAGGCACAATCTGTGTATATAGGCAGGAATATGAAGTATAGGAACAGTCTGGAACTTCTTAAACTTGGAGTAGGTTGTAAAGCAATTAAAGTTCACAGATCTAGCTTGCTGACT